ACGCATTATTGACAGAAAACTGACGCATTATTGACGGCAGAATAACACATTATTGACCGCAGAAATGACGCATTATTGATGCCACAAATGACGAATTTCTCACCCTCACAAAAAACAAACCAAACCCAATAAAATCAATCCAGCAACAGTAAACTTACCTCTCAAACTCAAGCGGGAGCTCCAAAGTCAATCAGCTTAAGAGAATGTGGTGGACATTAGAGAAGACTCTTTGGTAGTGGAGACTCCATCTCTACCACAATCGAGGAACAAATGCTGCTGCGGCGTCTAGCTACAGAACCAGATATGCTACTTTGCTTTCATTTGGAATCTCGTGTGCTGAACGAAAAAGAGAAGGGGTTTTCACTTCAGCCATAGAATCAAAACAGGGCAATAGCTAGATAAGAGCCATTAATCGTCATACCGAGGATGCCATAGATCGCAGGCCTCCCAAGGAGCTGATGACAATGGAGCGACTATAGGGTTTGGGAGCTTTGGATCTTTCTAATTCTGGGTTTGCGTTACATTCAAAAACAGAGGATTGTGTTCTTGAATTTTTCAGAGAGGGAAATATCTTCAACTGAAGTTGGGTTTCCAACGGGTCAGATTCAACCCGGTTCTACATGCACCCTCTTTTAAAAACTCACCGTTGGATGAAATCCAATGGCTCTAACATACCCCTCAAAAAAACCCCTTATAACTTTCCCCTCACTATAGAAGCTCCCGCTTCTTTTCAGCCAAACATATCATTACCCAAAGCCCATTTTAATCCTATTGCTTAAGACCCAAACCCATAAACCGATCTATGAAAAAAATATATATATATTACAAATCCTGTTTTAGCAAACGACGTCGTCACTTGAGATAATAGAAATTAGATCAGTCGACATCTTCTTCTTCCTCGTGCGCGCCCTAAAAGGTTTCTAAGAATGTTAATTACCCACCCTAAACGGCACTTCACATACTTTCAGACCCAAGCCTCCAGAAGGGGCATATTTTCTGATTTTTTGTTTACTTAGAGGATTGCAATGGATTTGTCTTTGGATGATAAAGGACCTGCTATACTGCAGCTGCACAAATGGGGCTCTTCTCATGCCCAGCTAAACATGTCAGAATTTCGTGAAGCTTTTATTTCTCCGACAAGACAGCTATTATTATTGCTTTCGTATCAGTGTGAAGCTTTGTTGATTCCTCTAATTACAGGTGAATTTTCATAACTTTGTTGTGTTGCCATAGTTTTGTTTAATTTGTATTATCACACTTTTTTTGTTTGTTTTTGCAGGGGACTCTACAGCTAGTAATAATTTGGAGAGTAATTCTGATGAAAGTCCTCAGAGTCCAGGTTCATCTGCTTTCTGCTCACAAGACTTGACAGCGCCTGGCGGGTCAGATTTAGGAAGGGGTGATATGCCATGTACCTCTGGATCAATGCTGGATTTTGATAATGATTTCACTTTTCAAAGAGAAATTTCAAGATCCAAAACTTACCCTTTTGTTGGTGATGTTAACTCTCTGGCTTGGGGTATCTGTGAGGATACTTATAATCAGCACAAGGATGCTTTGTTTAGTGAAATTTTGTTTGTATCTGGCAAGCAAGGTGTGATGGTCCATGCTTTTGTTGAATCCACCGGAAACACTGGAGGTACCAGAAATGCACTGGAAGGCAGGTATGGACAAGGCAGGTGGGTGGAGTGGGGGCCCTCTGTCTCTTTAGTTGATAATATGGGGATTGAGGAACCTAGCAGCTTGAGTTGTGAAGCCACTGGAAATATTGATTTAAACAGAGCCAATGGAAACAGTGTTGCTTCTAAGAGATGGTTGCAATCTTTTCTGACGAAAGTTGAAAATGATGAATATAATGGTAGCATGTTGACCAGGTTCCCGGAAAAGTCATTGTTTCCTTGCTCTGCAAAGGTTGTTTCATTTGCTTTATTTGATAGTAATTTACCAAATCTGGACTTCCTTTCTAACACTGGTTCCGTACCGAATATGGAGTGCTGGCAGGAAAGAGGTCACACGTCAGAGAGTGATAAATCTGTAAACTTGACTTCATCTGGTCAACATTTCAAGTCTGAGATTTTGTCTAATATTTTTGGTGTTGGAATGAACACTTCATACAAATGCTCCAGGGTGTTCTCAAGCAATTCACATTATTTTATTGGATTCGTTTTCACACAGACTGATCCTGCTAGTGATGAAACTGAAAGAAGCAACAACAAAAATGTACTTCTTGTTGCTAGGTTAGACCGTTGGGGAATTCAGTGGGTTTCCTCAGTGAAGCTTGACGAAGATCCAAAAATTCGCTCAGTAGTAGAATGGACAGACTTTCACTTTTCTGACAACCTTCTTGTTTGTCTAAATGCATCTGGCTTAATTGTTTTTTTATACTGCAGCTGCACAAATGGGGCTCTTCTCAGGCCCAGCTAAACCTGTCAGAATTTCGTGAAGCTTTTATTTCTCCGACAAGACAGCTATTATTATTGCTTTCGTATCAGTGTGAAGCTTTGTTGATTCCTCTAATTACAGGTGAATTTTCATAACTTTATTGTGTTGCCATAGTTTTGTTTAATTTGTATTATCACACTTTTTTTGTTTGTTTTTGCAGGGGACTCTACAGCTAGTAATAATTTGGAGAGTAATTCTGATGAAAGTCCTCAGAGTCCAGGTTCATCTGCTTTCTGCTCACAAGACTTGACAGCGCCTGGCGGGTCAGATTTAGGAAGGGGTGATATGCCATGTACCTCTGGATCAATGCTGGATTTTGATAATGATTTCACTTTTCAAAGAGAAATTTCAAGATCCAAAACTTACCCTTTTGTTGGTGATGTTAACTCTCTGGCTTGGGGTATCTGTGAGGATACTTATAATCAGCACAAGGATGCTTTGTTTAGTGAAATTTTGTTTGTATCTGGCAAGCAAGGTGTGATGGTCCATGCTTTTGTTGAATCCACCGGAAACACTGGAGGTACCAGAAATGCACTGGAAGGCAGGTATGGACAAGGCAGGTGGGTGGAGTGGGGGCCCTCTGTCTCTTTAGTTGATAATATGGGGATTGAGGAACCTAGCAGCTTGAGTTGTGAAGCCACTGGAAATATTGATTTAAACAGAGCCAATGGAAACAGTGTTGCTTCTAAGAGATGGTTGCAATCTTTTCTGACGAAAGTTGAAAATGATGAATATAATGGTAGCATGTTGACCAGGTTCCCGGAAAAGTCATTGTTTCCTTGCTCTGCAAAGGTTGTTTCATTTGCTTTATTTGATAGTAATTTACCAAATCTGGACTTCCTTTCTAACACTGGTTCCGTACCGAATATGGAGTGCTGGCAGGAAAGAGGTCACACGTCAGAGAGTGATAAATCTGTAAACTTGACTTCATCTGGTCAACATTTCAAGTCTGAGATTTTGTCTAATATTTTTGGTGTTGGAATGAACACTTCATACAAATGCTCCAGGGTGTTCTCAAGCAATTCACATTATTTTATTGGATTCGTTTTCACACAGACTGATCCTGCTAGTGATGAAACTGAAAGAAGCAACAACAAAAATGTACTTCTTGTTGCTAGGTTAGACCGTTGGGGAATTCAGTGGGTTTCCTCAGTGAAGCTTGACGAAGATCCAAAAATTCGCTCAGTAGTAGAATGGACAGACTTTCACTTTTCTGACAACCTTCTTGTTTGTCTAAATGCATCTGGCTTAATTGTTTTTTATGCAGTAATGTCAGGTGAGTATGTTGCACATCTAGATATTTTACAGACTCTAGGACTCTACCCTCAGCTGGATTTTCAGAAGCAAGAAACATTGACTGTGGGTTCTCAGAAACATAGTTTGCAAGTTGATGGAGTTGATTACAAACCAGTTTTGCAACGTGGTGATTATTCTGGTAGGAGAATATTTAAGATGTTAATTGCTGCTTCACATACCTCCCTAATAGCTGCTGTTGATGATTATGGTGTAATATATGTGATTTCTGCTGGTGACTATATACCGGACAAGTATTATACAAATGAGAAATTACTTCCACATGGTCAACATCTAGGACTAGGCATGTTGGCTGGTTGGGAGGTGGGTGGTTCTGATATAGGCCAACAAAGAGTATATATATCTGCTTCACAGAAATCTATTATTCCATCCATGAAGAATGAGAGATCTTCTTTCCTGGATGATTGTGGAAATAATGTGCTTAAACAAGAAGGGAAGGGCAGCTCATGCTTGAGTGGTTTTTCTGCTTCATCAAAAGTAACTGATCAGAAGTGCTATGACTCTGAAAAGAAATCACACCTGATGCGCAAGATCTTTCTTCCCCCTTATAGATTTAGTGAGGATGATTCTATCTGCTTTTCTCCATTAGGAATTACTCGGCTTATTAAGAACCACAATCTGAAGGACCCGAGGGGTTCTCAGATCGTTCATCTCAATCTGCATGCTGAGCCTGCAGTTCACGATGACAACTTTTTGAATAGTGGGTGTGAAATGGTCCATCTCCAAGGGAAGGAAGAATCCTTTATCGGAGAGGCAGTGGGTTGCACATTCCAGGGATGTTTTTATTTGGTGACAGAAGGTGGTCTTTCAGTGGTGCTTCCTTCTGTATCAGTCTCATCAAATTTTCTTCCTGTTGAAGTTATTGGATGTCGGCAGTTGTGTATTGATTCAGGCATTGGATATCCAGTAAAAAACGCAAGGGAAATAAGGGAATCTAAGCAGCCTTGGTCACCTTGGAATGTTGAAATTTTGGACAGAGTCCTTCTGTACGAAAGTGCTGAAGAGGCAGATCGCTTATGTTTGGAAAATGGTAAGAATTTAGTGCTCTGCATAATTTTAGCATCCCATTGAATAGTGTATACTTAATATCAATATTTGTTTAAGAGAATTTTTTTTCTCTTAACTTCATATCCTTAATGATTTGGTGTCCATAAGACTGTGCTGGAACTACATTTCATGTTATAGTTAGAATCTGTTGCTCGGGCCAGCTGATAAATGGTTAAATACAATTACAACAATGCAGTACATTTTTCCTTATTTCATTTATTTTTGCATGACTGTTAACTGGACTTGAAGTCATTAAGAACCATTTTGGCCTGCACAGCACATACATCCCGGCTAATTCTTCCCACAACCTCCTTCTCTCCCTTGGCTTATTAGGTATGGTTTATTTGAAAATATGTGGCTAGAACATCATTCGTTCAGAAGATGCTTTAAAGAATGTTGGGCTAGTGAGAAGACTTAAGGTTGGGAAGGTTACAATGTTATGAGGAATTTGAAATGGATAACAGAAAAAGCAAAGAATGACAAGGAGGTTTTTGGAGATGTAAAAAAAGGAAATGAAGGAAATGGCGGTAAAAGTAGAAGTGTTGGATTTGTTGGAGGAAGGGAGAGATTGCAAGAAAAGGGAAGCAGGGAGAGTTCTAACTAATCTAGTTCCTTCTCTCCCTCGCCTTATCAGGTATGTTTTTTTGAAAGAAAGGATTTGGGTTTGACAATAATCCTAGATTAGTTAGAAGAAAGTTAAAATACTAAGATATAATGTATTTGAAATAATCAAATGCAATATATTTGAAATTACTTTATGCAATACAAACCAAGGATCTGATGAGTTTTATTCTTTTTTGTTTCAAACAAATCTAAAAATTTATGCATTGTGATAGTCCAACCTAGAAATTTACCTATATAATATTTTATTGGATCCCTAGGTTTGAAATTACGCCTCCCAAATGGACTTAGGGGTATTTGAATTTTAAGTTCAATGATAATACAGGGATTTGAAGATTTTGAGGGATTGTATTCATCTCAACTGAGGTATCCATACTAATTACAGGAAAATATAAAGGTCTGATTGACTGGTAGTGGAAAATTTAAAGGCCTAATAAATAGTTCAAACCGTAAGGCCTAAGGAATAGCTTACAAAGAAGTGGAAGAGGAAAGTACGAGAACTGAATGAAAAACACATTAAGAGACAACTGGAGAAGCTACTTCATACTCCCCCACAGACTCAACGTCTAGGGAAGATGAGGTTGGAACAACAAAGCATATAGTGGTGCTTGTGAAGTGCTTTAGTGAAGAAATACACAATCTAAGCTGTGGAAGGAGCAAACTGAATGAACATGATAACTTCCAGAGCGTACATGCTCATGACTGATGTGATAATCAAGCTCAATGTGTTTGGTGCAAGCATGGAAAACAGGATTGGAAGCCATCTGTAGTGCTGAGGGGCATTGAAGTAGGCATATGAAGCTGGGGAAGAAGGTGCACAATCCAAGCAGTCTCAACAAACTTGAGAATTGAGAAAGCAAGTGATATTGAGACTCAACACTCCAATCAGAGACAATGAATTGTTTCTTTGCACTCTGAGAAATTAGGTTGGGGCCCAATAGAGCACATGAAACCAGAAGTTGAATGGTGAGTGTCAGGACAACTAACCCAATAACCATGAAAGAGTGGATGAAGAGCTAAAGTAACAGAAAATAGGCAAAAGGGAGATAAAGTGCTTAATGTCAAAAAGATGTGGGGTCAGACTTGCACTTATAAATTGAGCAACATGGTGAATCGCTAAGGCAGTGTGTGTGCCAATTCCAGTAAGGCTGGAATGAACCACTTGAACAAGGTTCTCAATAGTTTTGAAAAATGGAGCACCCGCAAGTGGGGAAAGCTGTCTTATCACTCGAGGGATGGTTCTACTTTTTATGTGTCTTTACTAGGGAGCAGTTATTATAGATATGCTTTTAATAGAACGTGCTAAACATGCATTAATAGTAGAAAGACCAAAATACAAATACGGTCACTTGAAAAACTTTATAAAAAAATATTAGTTCTGTTTTTTTTTCCTTTTTGTATAGAAATATGTTGGATGCTTGAAATTTTGTAGAGTTTCTGCATCTCAAGGCATGTTGACATAAATTCTGATCAATCAATGCAATGTTAGGGTGGAACCTGAAAATATCTCGTATGCGTCGGCTTCAGTTGGCATTGGACTACTTGAAATTTGATGAGATAGAGCGGTATGATTCTATATTTTTTTGTTGCTACATTGTTGTTGCCTAGTATCATAATTGATCTTCTGCAGTGTGGTTGGTGCTTGCTTATGGTAGACACTCTGTCCATTGTTTTGTACTATTTCATCTCTTTAATGAATTTTTGTTTCCTATAAGACAAAAGTTTCTACTGGTCTGTTATGTTGTTGGTAATGAATCCATATAATTCAAATTGTCTGTACAGTTTTGTTGATTAACTGGAGTGCATTTTGGAATCATGCTTTTGAAGTTGAAAAACTTTGTTAATATCATCTTTACAGAACTTTTTTCTCTTGTAGAGATAACGATATATGTTAGCTAATCTGAAATTTTCCAATTAAGGAAACTAGGATGGTATTCTCTTGATGTATATAAAAGTTGTCTTTCAAACATTGTGCCTATTTTTGTCTTTTGAGCTCTGGCATTTCTCTAAACGCGTGCACCTCTGCTTGATGTTCTGTTTGTCCATGCTTTTTGGGAATAAAATTCTGTTTCTTTTTATTATAAAAATTAAATTAAATTAAATAAACAAAAAGATTGGAATGATCTGAGCCTGCCTCAAACGTATCCAAATTTGCCGAAGAACCCAAAGAGAAAACCTAAACTAACAGACAGAACAGCATCCCAGGAATCCCTCAGTACAAAAGTTCCCTCCAATAAGCAAAATATCTTGTTTTTCAGGCAGTTAAAACGCTTACAAGTGAACACAACTATAATTTTATGATATAGAAGGGGTATTAAAACTAAGATAGGTTAATTATGCTGATGCCTGTTAAAGACACATGAAAAAGTAGAACCATCCAAAACTGAGACCTGCTAAAGGGGGAAAAGTTTTGAGTATGCCCCATTACACTTGACTTAAAAAAATTGTATTAAAAGGCTCTACTAATCTCCTTGGCTGACAACTGAAGTGATAACCAATACATATATTGAATCTAATTGGTGTTTTCTTCCTCTCTTTTTTTTTTTTTTTTTTCAATATATGCTAGTTTTGTGAAAAATATCAGAACTAATGCATCTTTCATTCTTTAACCAAATAAAAAAAGCATCTCTTATTCCTTTATCATGGATGTATTTCTCATTCATTTTTGTGGTTGAACAGATCATTAGAAATGCTTGTGGGTGTCAATTTTGCCGAAGAAGGTGTGTTACGATTGCTCTTTGCTGCTGTTTATCTGATGATTCATAAAGTTGGCAATGATAATGAGATTTCTGCTGCATCAAGGTAAATTCATTTACCAAATTGCATTGAATGTAATGGATGTTCTTGTGGATGCACCAAGATTGCTCTGTGGACTTCGGTCATTAACTGGAAGAATGGTTTATGTTTTGTATTATTTGTGCACCTTTTGCACTGGTTGTTGTTATTTTTATTTTTATTTTTTATTATTAGATAACAATTTGTGCTTTCCACATAGGGCTATGGGGAGCAAGAGCACTATACATGTGTCGTCTACGGTTCTTTTTATACTTCAATTGCAGAACTTACTTTGTTCATTCTTTTTTCAGGCTTCTTGCATTGGCCACTTGCTTTTCAACCAAAATGATTCGTAAGTATTGGTTGCTAGAACATAAGACAGATGCATATGAATATGCTAGAACCCAGATGCTTTTGCCTCCACCAGTTGTACCACAAAAGGTACAAGATGAAATTGCAAACTCAAGAAGGCTTCGTGAGATGGCTCACTTTTTGGAGATAATTCGAAATCTGCAATCTCGACTTGGTTCAAAGTACAAGAGGCCAGGCCAAGAATTCGTAAGCTGTTTCATTCATCTATCTAGATTCTTTGTTGCTACCACTTTTGTTTTTCAAGGCATGTTATGTTGCCAGTGAAGTTGGACCACACATTTTAACAGTAGTCTACCTAATCAATGGTCCAGACTCGCAGTCTTGCAATATAACATGTCAGACAATCTGGACAAAGAAAATTTCTATATAAATGTATATATACACATGTAGAACACATGTAGAGTTTTGATCTCTTGGTCACTGTCGACCATGAATATACTTGGTCACTAACCGTTGGATCAAAATTCAATAATTGACATTCAAACTTAGTTAAAATCCCAACCAAGTATTTTACTTTTGGGAATTAAAGTCCATGGGTTTTTGATCCAGCCGTAGTTGACCACCAAATTCCTTGGTCAATTGTGAGCATGAGATTATGGACCCCAGGATGGATGGGAGGAGACTCCCCACTCTTGTGGACATTCATTTTAGATCCTGTATGTACATATACATACATATATGTATAAATTCAATATATATAGGGGGCGGATCCGTGGCACTATGTTTTTGACACAAGTTTTGACACAAGCTTTCAACCATTAGATTAGAATGGATTGAATGGTTGAGATTATGTTTCATTAATTACTTAAATTAAATTAAATCTCTAATACCAAGTAAATTTCATTTTTATTTATTAGTTAAGATAATCCCGAAAATCACTCATTATCTTTCCCACTTTTGTTTTCTTATCATTTTCTCTCTTCTCAATTAATATCCTGCGAAACCTCACCGTTACCTTCCCCTTGCCATCGTCATCTACACCAACTGAGCATTACCACGGCATAGAAAATCTGTCTCAAGCTACCAATATTGAAGAGAAAATAGGATTTTAATATTTAAAAGAAAAAGCCCAGATTTGTTGCAATATTCTTCTCTACGGTTTGGTTGGTCTAACTCTGTGTTGTTCTCTCTCTCTCTCTCTCTCTCTGTTTTTTTTTTCTAACATCTTAATGGCTTACAAGATTTAGCTTTTATTCATTATGATTAATAATAAACTTTAAAAAAATATGGCAAAAGACAGTTTGCTTGCAGTTCATTGTGTGTGTGTGGTGGGGTGTCATCCCCAAGCCTTTTCTTTGAGAGTCATAATCCATGTATAACTGTAGCAACCCCAAAAAAAAGCAGTAAAAATAAAAAGCAAAAAGCAAAGTTAGGGATGGAGAAGAAAAAGAATCAGAAACCTGTAAAGCTTTAGAAGAAAGAGTAGGAGGATGAGAAAGTCATTAACTGAAGAATTCTAGAGTATAGAGAATGACGAAATAGGAAGATTTGATAAAACATTGATTGAGGATAGAGAAACAAGAAAGAGAAAGTCGATTAATAATTATTTTCAATATATATTTTTCTTAAAAAATATACAATTAGTTTAGTTAATCTTAGCCATTCAATCCATTTCAATCTAATGGTTGAAAACTTGTGTCAAAACTTATGTCAAAAAATAGTGTCACGTAACATTTAGCTAAATCAATTGTTTGTTAAAGGATTATTTTGTTTTTTCCCTACTGTATTTACATGCTTTTTTTCCCTACTGGATATGTGTCTCAACATTTATATGCAGTATATATGTTGTTCAAATTTTCTGTACAATTAATAATCAACAAAGTTTTCTGTAGATTTGTCCCATAATCTCCTTAAGTTTATGTTTTCTCCGTATATTATGTGTTGGGACGTTGTAAGCAAAATGTCATAGCAAAATGCTAGATATTAAACTCCCCACTCTAGGTTTTAATTAAAAATTAATTTCAGTATATATGCATTTAATTTGGATGAATTAAATTCTAAGCTCCTCTGTCTTATACTTCAAATTCCTGGTGTTTCCTTTACTGCACCAAAAACAATTCTTGAATGAGGTATTGAACTCCAGAGATCAATCAAAATAGTTAATGTAAGTAATATCGTATCTATATTACAGGTGGAAAGTGGGGAAGCATCAATGTTAGTGGACAATGATTTATCACAGGATGAGTCTCAGTTATCAGTTATTTCCGTAGACCCCAAATCTTTGGAGACATCAAAACAGCATGAAGCTTATTTTCCTGTATCTACGTCTGGCTTTAATTATTCTGAGAAGCTTGCTTTGACACCTGTAGATCCTTCAGTCCATTTGGACTCAGAGGATTTAAGTGAAGTATCTGCTCTTGTGCCACAAGGGGGCTTCTTGGAGAAAAAAGTTCTTCCCTTGGAAAATCCCAAAGAGATGATAGCGCGTTGGAAGATAGATAATTTAGACCTTAAGGCAGTGGTCAATGATGCTTTACTCTCTGGTCGTCTCCCCTTAGCAGTTCTTCAGCTACATCTTCATCGTTCAAGGGATTCATTTTCTGGAAAAGAGCCTCATGATACTTTCACTGAAGTCCGTGATATTGGAAGAGCTATTGCTTATGACCTATTTTTGAAGGTAACTTATTAACAGTTAGCTATGTGAAGATATTGTGTTTTATGTTGAAGCAATTATATTACTTGACCTACAGGGTGAATCTGGACTTGCTGTGGCCACGTTGCAAAGGCTTGGAGAGGATGTAGAAGCTAGCCTCAAGCAGTTATTATTTGGCACAGTGAGAAGATCTCTTCGAATGCAAATCACTGAGGAGATGAGTAGATATGGTTACCTGGGGCCATATGAGTGGAAGATATTGGATCGGATATCCCTAATTGAGGTACATAAATTTGTACTTACATGTCTTTCTTATGTTATGATCATATTTGGTATGATTTCAAGTGCCGCCCAGATGTTATGATCGTATGTGGTATGATTTATTTTGGATTTGATAAAATTGCCTTACCATTGTTTATTCAAACTTTTCTTGGAATAGAGGCTTTACCCTAGCAGTAGTTTCTGGAAAACGCTTCATGGACGGCAGAAAGAATTCATGCGATTTCCAGCAAGTTCAAGTTTGCCCAAGAGATATTATTTGCGCCTGCTGGATTCACATGCATTCAACAATTTTGCCATTGAGTGTGATGACATTGATGGAGTTGTTTTTGGTTCATGGACAAATGTCAATGAAAATCCCTCTGTTCCTATGGTGGATGAAGATAATGCTTATGCTGGATACTGGGCTGCTGCTGCTGTATGGTTTAGCTTCTATGACCAAAGAAGCATTGACCGCGTAAGTCACTTTTCATACCTTTCTGCTTTCTGTAACTGGAAAGAGGTTGATTCATAAGCTTATAAACTTCTTTCAATACAGATGGTTTTGGATCAGTCATCTTTTATGGGTGTGCATGTACTGTGGGAATCACAGCTTGAGTACCATGTATGTCACAACGATTGGGAGGAAGTCTCTAGACTCCTGGACCTTATTCCCCCTCATATTTTAGTAGTTGGAAGCCTCCAAGTCAGCTTGGATGGGTTACAGCCTGCTTCAAATTTTGGATGCCGTAGGGGACCTGACTATGGCGATTACTTATGCTCTCTTGAAGAATTGGATGCTGTCTGCATGGATGTTCCAGAAATCAAAGTTTTCAGGTTTTCGTGTAATATTATGTCCTCCATGTGGTTAAGGATGCTGATGGAAGAGAAACTTGCTAGAAAACTAATTTTCTTAAAGGAATATTGGGAAGGCACCTTAGATATATTACCTCTGCTTGCCCGTTCTGGCTTTATTACTAGCAAGTATGAAATGCCTTCCAAAGATGATAAGATTGAGAGTTTATCAGAGCCACAATTTCCAGATGATTCTGGAACATTTAATGTCAGTACTATGCAGGCCTTACATAAACTACTGATACATCATTGTGCACAGTATAACTTGCCATACCTTCTGGACCTTTACCTTGACCAGCATGAGTTGGTACTGGATAATGATTCACTTTCTTCACTACAGGAAGCTGCAGTAAGTTTTAAGATTTCTAGTGAGCTTCACAAATTGTTCTATTCTATCTCTGGTTTCCATTTATCTAGTTTAATGGCTGTTTATATTTGTTTATGCTCTTAGGTTGATTTGGTTTGCCTCTTGCTCCCCCTTGAATTTGTTTCGTGTTTTTTTTTAATATTTAAAATATGAATCTCTCTAACATTTGCAGCTGATGTTTAGTGATAAAATGCAATTAACATTTGCATATGTCTCTAACATTTAAAGCCTATAAATAAAAGCATCTCTTTTAATGTAAAATTGGATTCTGGTTGAATAAAAACTTGGGTTTTCTTAAAAGGTTAGGCACCCTCATATCTCATTCTTTAATAACTCATATCCTCCTTTTCTATTCCTCTCTATCTCGTTGAGTTTTTTAACAATACAGTGATCCTGTATTGTTTCTTCTCTAAACTCCTCCTGTTTACTAAAAGCTCTGCCATCTAATGCTCATAATTGCACGCAGCAATCATCTCTTGTTGTCCTATGTCAAAACCACCAACCTCAGATACAAGATGATATTTGATTTTTGGATGAGCTGATAACACTAGACTGATGTTTATCCCTTTCAAAAGAGTTCCTAGATAGAAAGCCGTATTCAACCTTTTTTAATCTTCCTAAATAACCATTGGTTGTTTACAGAAAGCTAGGATTCCCACATTATTCCATATTTCAAGAAGTCATATTTGACTCACATAGTTTAATAGCTATGACTAGTAATTATTTAATGCTAGTGGCTCTTCCTTAAACCATAGTTAGTGAGCAAATAAAACTTATTAAGCTCTTCCTTAGACCACTATTAGTGAGAAAATAAAACTTAACAGGCAGTTTTTAAATCCAATGATTCAATTATTTTGAAAGTTTAATTTCTTCATGTGTGCATTCACCTGTTGACTGATCCACCAAATACAGCTTGAGCGCCGCATTGCAAACTGCAGTTCAATAAAATCAAACTGCCATTACTCAAGACCACTTAGCGAGAGAGAGAGAGAGAGAGAGAGAGCCTTCGTTTACCTACTTAACTTAACTGTGCCCTTTTTGCCTGGGCCTTTCTATGGATAGGAACTAATGGCCATTAATGATAGGTATCTCGTAAATATGTTTTTCTACCTTGTGATAGTAATCACAATAGTTGGTTTACCAACTTTCACAATTTATTACCCTAAACCCTATTTCAAGAAGAAAACAAAGGTTTAAGGTAGGAGGATGTACCCTAAACTTTAATTGGTTTAGGGTAATATATTGTGATTACTACGTCAAGGAGGATGTTTTGACTTGGGGATAATTAAATAAATATAAAAAAAGCCACTAAAAAACTACATTAAAATAGCAGACAACAATAACAAGATTCTGAGACACTACAGCTTTCCAATAAGACAGTGTAATAGAAAGAATAGTGTCTAAACTCTGGAGATGCCGAAGCCCACAAGGATGCCGAAATCGAACTTCCTGGGGATGCTTCTGAACTTCCTGTGGTTCTCTCAGTTTTTGCTTCTGAACTTATTTTCTGGGGCTGCTTCTGAACCTTGCTTATGAATAACTTAAAATATTATTGAACACCTGAATTATTTTGCTAAGATTCATTGTGTAATTTCAGAATATATTTTGCAAAGCTTGATGAGTGCTATGTTTAATCTTTGTTCCAATTTTCATGTCTAATCCAACATTGAGTGGTGTGCCGTGTCACTCTTCTACATTGCTTTATGACTTCTATTCAGTTACGACAATATATGTAGTCCTGTGACTTTCCCCTTACCATCTTATTCTTGCCAAAAGATCATGCTTGTCTCATCTATTTTCTGCAATGCATTCATACAGGGAGATTGTGAATGGGCAAGATGGTTGCTCCTCTCTAGGGTTAAGGGGTGTGAGTACAAAGCATCATTTTCCAATGCTCGTGCGATCATGTCGTGTAATCTAGTTCCTGGTAGTAACCTCAGTGTTCCGGAGATGGATGAAATAATTCGTACTGTTGATGACATTGCAGAAGGAGGGGGGGAATTGGCAGCTTTGGCAACACTGATGTATGCCTCTGTTCCAATTCAAAGTTGCCTGAGTAGTGGTAGTGTTAAAAGGAATAGCAGCACATCAGCCCAGTGCACACTAGAGAATCTCAGGCCCACTCTTCAGCGTTTCCCTACATTGTGGCAAGCATTTGTATCAGCATGTTTTGGGGAAGATGCAACTTCCAATTTTTTGGGGCCTAAAGCAAAGAATGGTTAGCTTTTAGCCACCCTGCTTCATGAACATATTTTTGTAGCCGTAAAGCACTTATACTTCTAGAATCATTTGTTTCGTTGCGCCTTTCAATTTACAATTTTCTCAATTCATCTCTATCAGATTATTTAAATTGGCGTGACAACATATTCTTCTCTTCTGGACGTGATACTTCACTTCTACAAATGCTACCGTGCTGGTTTCCTAAGGCTGTACGGAGGTTGATTCAGCTTTATGCCCAGGTCTCTTATTGTTATTTATCATCTATCACTGAGCTTCTTTCATGAGGTACAGGCACGCTTGTGCACACACGCACAAATGTGTCTGGAAATGGCATGCTACTTGCTTCATACAGAAGCCCCTTCCTCCCTCTCCCCCGTGCTGTTCTCTTGTTAGTTGTTTTGATGTGCTTTATTTGGATTGGGTTATCGTATCATGTGCTTTGTATGATATTGCAGGGTCCTCTTGGATGGCAATCAGCATCAGGTCTGCCAGTGGGAGAAGGTTTGCTACATAGAGATATAGATTTTGTCATGAACGTCGATGAGGATGCTGAGATCAGTGCAATCTCCTTGGAAGCAACCATCCAAAAACACATTGAGGAGGAACTCTATAATTCTGCACTTGAGGTATATGTTTACATTTCTCTTGAAATAATTATTCATATCAGACAATTTAGCTTGAATCTTAGAATGAACCATTAAAGAGAGCTGCGCACTGTGTTCAATCCTGTCACAGTAGCTTTGTTGCTGAACTGAAATGTTTCTGTCCTCTAGTTGAGGGGACAAGAAATGGGTTTTTAACCTTTTTTTTCCTGAATTTGAATGGTATATTATGTATATATATACATACATACATATATCTCACTGAGTGGGACTATAAAATATATTTCTCAGAATGTGAGGCAGTTGGTAATGTTTGACTTAGTATTTTTTTTTTTTGGTATTTGGTTTTATGTTGAATTGGATATCCATTCTATTGCTTTAACTGTTCTTGTTCTTTATGGCCATTGGTCCATATAATTTCGGACAATTATTGTTTAACTGAATTGTTCTATTACAATTCTACTTTCTCTAGTTAACATATTGGGTTATTAGATTTCAATTTGATGGCGTTGATTTTAAATCAAATCAAATCAAATCTCAAATAGTTACCTGTTTTTTGCTTCTCTGGTATGACTACAATGTTCCTGCCTCCCATCTTAATAATATTTTTTACTTCAGGAGAATTCACTTGGCCTGGAGCACCATTTGCATCGTGGACGTGCACTAGCTGCTTTTAACCATTTACTTACTGTTAGAGTTCAAAAATTGAAGTCAGAGGCACATACACATGGACAAACAAATGTTCAAGCTGATGTTCAAACACTTCTTGGACCTATAACAGAAAGTGAAAAGTCTCTTCTTTCTTCTGTAAGTTTTTTAGTTTTCTTTTAATTTTTTATACTTTTGGTGAATGAGATTTACTGGTATAAACACTATTTTATTTCTTGAATGATTTTCTTCTCTGTTACATATTTATTTATTGCTGAAATCCCTTGCATTAGTAGAAACATTGAAGTCAAAGACTTACTTTGAATTGTGCTTTGAAGTTTCGTGTTCCACTTTATTCTAGGTCATGCCACTTGCAATTATTAATTTTGAGGATTCTGTGTTGGTGGCTTCATGTGCTCTTTTCCTGGAGCTTTGCGGCTTTTCTGCGAGCATGCTACGCATAGACATTGCTGCCTTGAGACGGATGTCTTCTTTCTACAAATCTAGTGAAAATATTGAGAGCTTAAAGCAGCTTTCAACCAAGGGTTCTGCATTTCATGCAGTTAGCCATGGAAGTGATATAACAGAATCTCTAGCTCGAGCTCTAGCAGATGAACATCTGCACCAGGATAATTCAAGTACTGCTAAGCAAAAGGGTGCTTCAAATTTAGCTGCTTGTAAACAACCTTCACGAGCTCTCATGCTTGTCTTACAGCACTTGGAAAAGGCTAGCCTTCCTCCAATGGTGGATGGAAAGACATGTGGTTCTTGGCTTTTGAGTGGCAATGGTGATGGAATTGAGTTAAGATCTCAACAGAAAGCTGCAAGCCATCACTGGAATTTAGTCACAATTTTTTGTCAGATGCATCACCTTCCCTTGAGCACAAAATACCTTTCTGTATTGGCAAGAGACAATGATTGGGTTTGTATACATCATTCTATTATAGTTGTCATTAATTATAAAATGAATCTAGCTTGTGACTAGAAAATTTCTTAAACTATGAATCTACCCTCTTTTTGTCTCTTTAAGGTTGGATTTTTGTCGGAAGCTCAGATTGGAGGATATCCTTTTGACACAGTAGTCCAAGTGGTACTTATTGTTTCTATTTTAATATGTATTACACTATTTTTTATGCGGACCAGACATATATTTAATACATTGCATTTTATCTCATCATATCATTTTTCAGGCATCAAAGGAGTTTAGTGATCCACGTCTCAGAATTCATATTTCAACAGTTTTGAAAGGCATGCAGTTAAGAAGAAAAGCCAGCTCTTCTTCGTATTCAGATACTACAGAAAAAAAGAACGAAGCTTCCTTTCCAGATGAAAATTTTTGTGTCCCAGTTGAACTCTTTAGAATATTAGCAGAATGTGAAAAGCAGAAATTTCCTGGAGAGGCCATTTTGATGAAAGCAAAGGAGTTGTCCTGGTCGATTTTGGCAATGATTGCATCGTGCTTTTCAGATGTGTCTCCAATATCTTGCCTAACAGTCTGGCTGGAAATCACTGCAGCAAGGTAACTGCTCATATTCCATTTATGAGAAATGCTTCCCGGATTGTGTATTCAAATCACACTATATATGTTTGAGCTTTTTTATGTCATGACTCGCTAACTCCACACTTGTTTTATGTATTTTTGTTATATAAATTTCTCCAGTTCTCTTTCTAATACATCACTTCGCAAACTTCAAAGCATCTGACTGCAACTTTATTTTCCATAGGGAAACTTCATCCATTAAGGTGAATGATATTGCATCCAGAATTGCAAATAATGTTGGAGCAGCTGTGGAAGCTACTAATTCCCTGCCGTCAGGGACTAAAGCCCTTACTTTTCATTACAATAGGCAGAATTCAAAACGAAGGCGGCTTCTGGAACCCATCTCAAGAGATCCGTCAGCTGTTGCAATTTCTGATATTTCAAATTCTCCTGTGGGTGCACAAATATTTGATTCTCAGGACCCTAGTTCTAAAGGGGAAAGGAATGTAGAACTTGGTGAAAGTATCAATGTTTCAAGTGATTCTGATGAAGGGCCTGCTTTGCTGTCAAAGATGGTTGCAGTGCTTTGTGAGCAACACTTGTTCCTGCCTTTGTTAAGGGCATTTGAAATGTTCCTTCCCTCATGTTCTCTTTTACCTTTCATACGCGCTCTCCAGGTTTGTGAATAAAATTAAAACCCACCTTCCTTCCTTCATTGATTCTTTAATTTGAATTTCAAGAGAATTCCATTTTTACTATGTCAGAGGACTGTTTATCATTTTTCTTTGCTTCTAAGGAACCTAACTGCTGTTTATCATTGACCAAAAAAAAAAACAAGGAATCTAACTGCTGGTATGTGAGTCTTTTTTATGTCGGATACAATGTCCTGTTGCTACAGCTGGCAGTTTGTGTGGACAGTTCATATCTGTCTCCAATCCGCAGCAAGCAAGAATTGGCATATGTTTTTGGGATTTTGTGTGTGAAAACTTGGTGGTTTACCACTGTTAAAGTTGAGCTGTTAAGCTGTGGGCTAACATTGTCCTATATTCTAATGCTCTTCCTCACAAGTGGGGTTCCCTTTACCACTCAAGAATGAAATTGTCGATGTTGGTGGTGGAAAGATCGGTGGTCTAGATTTACGTAAATATTGATATTGGGGGAAGTGTTTAGTAAAAATCAACAAAAGGGGGAAAGATCGGTGGTCTAGATTTACGTAAATATTGATATCGGGGGAAGTGTTTAGTAAAAATCAACAAAAGGGTTGAAACATTTTGAGGAATAGTAAATTTAATTATCATGCATAGTATTGAATTTCATTTCCTACGGGCTGTGGAAATGAATAAACGTGATCAACACTTGTACGGGTTTCATATTTTTACCCTCCCTTTCTCCCACCTCAGGCATTTTCACAAATGCGCCTATCTGAAGCATCAGCTCATTTGGGTTCGTTTTCTGCCCGGATTAAAGAAGAATCAACCCGCTTACAGTCAAATGTAGGAAGAGAAGTGCAGATTGGTACATCATGGATAAGCTCCACCGCCATTAAAGCTGCGGATGCAATGCTTTTGACGTGTCCATCTCCTTATGAAAAAAGATGCTTGCTACAACTCCTTGCTGCAACTGATTTTGGTGATGGAGGATCTGCAGCAGCATACTACCGACGGCTTTTTTGGAAAATTAATTTAGCTGAGCCATTATTACGCAAGGATGACATTTTACACCTTGGAAGCGAGACCTTAGATGATGTTTCACTTGCAACAGCATTGGAGGATAATAGGCATTGGGAGCAAGCACGCAACTGGGCCAGACAATTGGAGGCCAGTGGTGGACCTTGGAAATCTGCTGTTCATCATGTAACTGAAACTCAGGTACTGTTTGAACTGATTGGGTTAGATATGGTTAAAGTTTCCTTATATCCTTCATCAAAGACAGTTGAAAGGAAATGTAAATAAGAGGCTTGGCACCTTATAAATCTGATTTACCTATTTTTAATTTCCAAATTTAGATAATCCCTTGACAATATTTTACTTTCCAACCCATCTACTGAGATACATGACTTTTAAAAATAAATAAAAAAGGTTAAGAGAGCATATGAAGATGCCTCATGGAGATGTTGCATTTACTAGTTTGTAGGAATTGTGATAAGTAGAGGTAGGTTTTATTGCCTCACAAAAGTTAGTGTTCTGCTTTTATCTTTAGTTCTCCTGAGCACATATAGTTCATAGAAGAGAAGTTTTGACTAAGATATTAGTCAGTTGATAGACGCTAATTGATTATTGTTGCTGACCGGAGTGGAGTGCTTTGGGGAAGGTTGGTCGAGGTATATCCTTGGTTAATATTTTCTATAAAATCTTTCATGTATACTGTTGATTCCCTGGGTCAAAATGTTAACCTCCATGAGATAAAGTGAGCATGGTAATATTGCATCACTTGTACTGTCATAACTATCTCTCTCTCTCTCTCTCTCTTATTATTATTATTTTTTTCTACTGTTAACCACTTTAGGCTGAGTCGATGGTAGCTGAGTGGAAGGAGTTTCTTTGGGATGTTCCAGAAGAGAGAATTGCTTTATGGGGCCATTGCCAAACTTTGTTCATCAGATATTCCTTCCCTGCTTTACAGGTAGTTTCTCATTGTATTTGAAACATTTGTTAACTAAAATTCATTTATGGTGTCTTGTTTCTATGAATTGGTTTCCAGGCTGGGTTATTTTTCCTCAAACATGCAGAAGCTTTGGAAAAGGATCTTCCAGCTAGGGAGCTTCATGAGCTATTGCTGCTTTCTCTACAATGGTTAAGTGGGATGATAACCCTGGCCAGTCTGTAAGTATATACAAAGGTTTTAATTTCATTGTTAAATCTTTGTTTTAAATCTTTATTGATTGGGGTAATCAATTCACCAGAGTGTATCCACTTCATCTTATTCGGGAAATCGAGACTAAAGTGTGGCTCTTGGCGGTAGAATCAGAAGCACATGTTAAGAGTGAAGGAGACTTCAATTTAAGCAGTTCCAGTCGTGACCCTGCTCTTAAAAATAGCTCCAGTATTATTGACAGAACTGCAAGTATAATAACAAAAATGGACAATCATATTGGTACATTTAAGAATAGAACTTTTGAGAAACATGATCCAAGGGAACACAGCCTGGCATATCACAAGAACCAAGTATTAGATGCTAGCTTTCCAACCACCACAGGGGGGAGTACAAAGAACAAACGGAGGGCAAAAGGTTACATGCCATTGAGACGGCCACCATTGGACTCCGCAGAAAAAAACACTGATCTTGATAATGGTTCCAATTCTCTCAATACTATAAATGAGTTGCAGTCTCAGGAAGAAAACTTAAAAATGGAACTGTCTTTTTCACGGTGGGAAGAAAGGGTTGGACCTGCAGAGCTGGAAAGGGCTGTTCTTTCTTTATTGGAATTTGGACAAATAGCAGCTGCAAAGCAACTCCAGCATAAGCTATCTCCAGTGAAAGTACCATCTGAATTTGTACTTGTGGATGCTGCATTGAAGCTTGCAGCTATGTCAACTCCAAGTAAGAAAGTATCCATATTAATGCTTGACGAAGAGGTGCATTCAGTAATTCAGTCATACAATATACCGACTGACCAGCATCAAGTTGACCCAATTCAGGTTATTGTTTGAATCCACCCTTCTGTCTTCCTCCTCTATCTCTCTCTTGCTCACACATGCGATGTTTCTTCGTTATGTTCATATTCTCTTCATGTGTATAAAGTATATACTAGGTTTTCAACTGGGAAATTTTAATTCATGCTCAATGGTCTTCTTAGTGGCTACTGGTGGTCTACCGACTCTACCCCTTCTTTCTTTTCTAACAGTTATCCCATCTTGTCTCTGTTACTTGTCTAATGCACTTTATGTCCTTATATTTACGTGATATTTTGAATATGGAAGGTTTTGGAGAGTCTGGCAACCAATTTTACTGAAGGTTGTGGTCGTGGACTATGCAAGAGGATAATTGCAGTCGCCAAAGCAGCAGCCATCTTAGGTATTTCATTTTCGGAGGCATTTGATAAGCAGCCAATTGAATTGCTACAGCTGCTTTCCCTTAAAGCACAAGAATCATTTGAGGAGGCACATCTCCTTGTGAGAACTCATTCAATGCCAGCAGCCAGTATTGCTCAAATTCTTTCAGAATCCTTTTTAAAGGTTTGTTTATAAATATAACTTCTTTGGCTTGTGACTGTATAAAATGTGTATATGTGATACATATATACATGTATGAATGATGACTTGCCATATATCTGTTATGTTATGTTACCAGGTAGTAAGCACGTTGTTACAATTTTCATGTTTTAGATTGCACATTCAGACGTGTCTCCTTTAATTTCCTTGAATAAGCACGTTGTTACAATTTTCATGTTTTAGATTGCACATTCAGACGTGTCTCCTTTAATTTCCTTGAATAAGCACGTTGTTACAATTTTCATGTTTTAGATTGCACATTCAGACGTGTCTCCTTTAATTTCCTTGAATAAGCACGTTGTTACAATTTTCATGTTTTAGATTGCACATTCAGACGTGTCTCCTTTAATTTCCTTGAATAAGCACGTTGTTACAATTTTCATGTTTTAGATTGCACATTCAGACGTGTCTCCTTTAATTTCCTTGAATAAGCACGTTGTTACAATTTTCATGTTTTAGATTGCACATTCAGACGTGTCTCCTTTAATTTCCTTGAATAAGCACGTTGTTACAATTTTCATGTTTTAGATTGCACATTCAGACGTGTCTCCTTTAATTTCCTTGAATAAGCACGTTGTTACAATTTTCATGTTTTAGATTGCACATTCAGACGTGTCTCCTTTAATTTCCTTGAATAAGCACGTTGTTACAATTTTCATGTTTTAGATTCTTATAAACTTCTCTTCCTAAGGTGGTATTTGTTTCTTTTTCATTTTCTTTTCCTCAAGTTTGATTGGGTTTTTACCAGGCCGTTATCCAATTGTTTTGGTAATGAATTGAGTTAAAAGGAAAACAAAGACAAGCTCTGTCCCATTTCTTTCTATCGATTCAGTTGTTTTTTGTTTTTTTTTTTT